TCCTTTCAATCAACCAAGTCTCTCAATATGAATAAAACATTTTGGCATGTAAGCTTCTATTCCGAGTGAACATTCCATACATATCAGATGCTAATATACAATCTCAAATTTTTAAATCAGATATCTTTAACTTATTTCCATTTCTTCCACAGGGCTCAATTTTTTTTTTCTTTTTTTTTTGCAAAATAATCTAATAATAGCATCTATTACCAACTCCAACATTAACAAACACTTATAAAGAAGTGCCTATTCCCTAGATATGTCTTTGTTTTTCATACAAAATAAGTGTACAGATATATATATAAAGGTAATACATAAAAAACATAAAAACAACACTGTTTACATATTTATTACCTTTTTCAGACTTTTGTTTTATCATATATTATTGGCACAGCTGTTCATTTTTTGTTTTTTTTTCTTTTATAGATAGCATGAAAGATCTATTTTGAATAACAGTTTAATAATTCACAAAAATCCCCACACACAATTTTAAGTAGTTCCTAGCTCGGAAATATGTTACATTTTGAGCTCTCTTTTCTAATCAACCCAATACTAACAGGTGATTTCCCGGGCCCCACTGCCAAGGGCTTGTGTCGTCACCCTAGCATGCATGGCATGACCATACTTGCCCCCAGAAAACGGGATTGGCACACCATGCCATTTACACACATGACACCCGGAATATAGTCCAATCATGCCACGACGTGTACATACATGCCACCCGGTGGCTAAGGTTTAAGTAAAAAAAAGAAAAAAAAATTATTCAGATTCACAGGCTCTGAAATATACCTATTTAAGATACAATCCGTGTCTTAAGCAGATTATAATAAGCAAAAAAAAAAAAAAAAAAAGAAACTAAAAAAAAAACTATAAAATCAATGTCTTGCTGAAGAACTATTAATCAGTACTAGCTAACACTACTTTCTAAAGCTAAGTAAAACAAAAATAATAATAAAATACAGAACAGAAAAGAAATTAAAATAAATACCAAAGTCACGTTCATTTGGCATTTGTAAAAACACATAAAATAAAACAATATTTGCTCCCCTTCATCAAGACCTTCACAAAATTGTAAAATAGTACCTTAAAATTCTATGACTTTCATTATGACACTTATCAAAAAAATCTGATAAAATGGTAAAATTCCTCTTTTCACATATACTAGAATTCCATATCTTCGTTATCATATTACAAAGATAGTAATCAAATCAAAAGCTTCTTTTCCGACTTAAGCATTTTTCTACTCATATTTAGACAAGGGACCTGCCTTTTCATTACAAAAGAATATCTCAATTTCCAGACAAAATTATACATTCAATAAAAATACTTGTAAATATTTGGTTACCTCTGTTGTAAGAATAGATCTGTAAAGTAACATTTCTTTTTGGAATGTCTTGTCCTACAAAAAGGCAGCTAGTCTTTCCACTACCTCCTTGGACATTATCAACTTCATAGGAGGCAAACATCCTTTGGTAACATATTGCAAAAGCTTATATTAATAACTGGGTCCCCAATAACCTTCCTCAGAGTAACAGAACTGGGTTCATTTGGAAACATAAATAGTTTCCGTGAAGTATGTTATAAATCATAATACATCATGTGCAAATATAAAACTCTTTTAAAACTCAAAGCTGAATCAACATAGAATGGAAAAATTGTTCAGTAGAAGGAATCATTATTAATAATTTGAATGTATATCTATGCATAAACGTTAACTCTTTCTCTTTACTCATCCCAGGACTTCTTTTCTTCTCCTTCTTCTAAAATTATTACCTGGCTCATTTATCACAGCAAATAATTCAGGTGCAACCGGTTCAGCAAACATTTGAAAAGATGTGAACAATGTAGTTTGAAAGTGACTTACAACACATCACTTGGTATATGATTTTAAGCCAACTGAATAACGCAAGCACTGTAAAACTAAATGAAACTACAATACACATATGAACTATGAATGAAATACACATAATGCAACATACGTAAAGCAAAAATGACTCAGCATGCATTACAAATCAGAGCCATATTTTTGATACGACACATTTCAAGAAAATACTCGGGTAAATCACATACAAAGTTAGGATAAAATGGGACTTTCATCTTGGCTGCCCTGAAATAATTGTATTACAAGCATTGTGCTGTAGAGAAAAGACAAAGAAAAAACATGACAACATAACAAAACAAACTACTAAACCACACCCAAGAGCTAGACTTGGTTGAAGTAATGAGTCTGATTGCTTAATGGCACTCTGCCACGTACAAGGAAACTCCATACGTTCTTCATTCTCTCCTTCATCGTCAGTTTGGTCAACGGGGTTCCAAGCTTTAGGCGGCACAGTGTTGTTTGTTGAGACCCAATTACTTTGAACTGGCCTCTGTAAAATTAATGAAAGACATTTATATACCATTTCTTAGTAAAAGGAATAATACATGAATAATATTAAACACGATTATCTATCTATAAAGTAATTATTATACCATTTAACTCTTCAAGTGCCTAGATGTCTAGGAAAATTTGCTATTTTTAGTAGCCCAAACTGTTGTAGTATAGGCAAAATATGTATATGCATACTATGAAATTATAAATTCAATACAATTCAAAACAATAAAAAAGAAAAAAGAATACTCACTTTAAAAGATGGAAGCCCCATACAAAGGAGACGACATTGCATATTATCATCAGCAGGGTCCACACATTTTCATTCAGAAGATACAACATATGTGCTAACAGCCTCTCTATCCAGTCTCCTTCATCTGTTTTGGGCATGGTGGCAACAAAGGCCCCGTGCACAAACCCCACCATCAGAAAGAGATTTGTCATCACGAACACAACGAAGTGCCAGTGGTTGTTGGACGCTATGCAAGTATTGAGGAACAGGCAGTGGTGGTCCATCTGGTGGTGGCACTTGACGCACAAGCGACAATGGTGCGAGAGAGGGGGCATCGCGAGCTGGCACTCTGAGCAGTAGCCCCGAACCACTCCCTCACCCACCCCTCGTAGCACCTCTTGAAGTGGCCCTTCAGCACGTACTATGCCTGGATCACCTGCAGATCATGGTTGCATTGCAGTTATAATTGTATAAAATGTTGACATTTTTTAAGGATGGATAATGTTGTCAAAATCATATAGAATGTCTATATGTCTTGCACAATGATGACACAGCTTATGATAACACTCAAAGATTGTGTCTAGGACCCTGTTCCTACACTCCAATCATCATTCTCCATTACACACATTCCTTTAAAGCTTCTCCCTAAACATGTATCAAACTAATCGGTGACCAATATAAATCTCAAGATGTCCAAACATACAATACACATTACACCAAACAAACCTGTTATCAATTTGTAAAAGAGTCCTATATGAAAGCCAGCCACAATCCACATCACGAGCGATATGATGAGATATTCATGCCGGTAAGCTTCCACTGAGATGATGTAGCACGCTATGGTAGAAAAGAGTCCTCCTCCATATGCTCCTAGGTATATGGGGTTTGGCCATCTAGAAGAAAAAAAAAATATTGGCTTATATAATTACAAATATGCTGCCTCTAAATACAGAAAACAAAATAAATAGATAAGAATTCAGCCTCTTTCCTCAAATACTGAAGGAGCAACTTTTTGGGAAGAGGTAAAAAAAAAAAAAAAATACCAAACAAAAAGAGGGACACAGCCAAAACACATCCCTCTATACCATTCCTGCCTCGATAATCGTGAAATCAAACTCGTATCTTTTCCCACCTGCCCCCACTGCAACACAGCATAATTATTTTTTTTTCGAGCTAATGCGGTCAAATCAAAAACAAAAATCCCCAACCACATCCACCTTTGTCACACACCTAACTGGATGCTTCATGCGGTGCTGCTGTCTGGCCATGACCGTCAGAGCCACAATAAACACGGGCGCTCCAACCATCCACTGATGATGAGGCATTGCCAGGACAGACAGAATCTGAAAAAAAAAGGGGTGAAAATTGTTGAATTGTACCATGTTTCTCTTCTATAACATTACTTATAATTTCCTTGTAACACTTAAAACAAAAGATTCTATGCATCAGGTCTTAAGGAAAGTAAAGATAAGGTTTCTATACATGTGATGAATTTAGACACATGTAATATGTTCATATCACATAAGCTTCCCTTCTACTGGAATGTGCACTTTTTATTCCGATATTATCTGAAAAAAAAATTCACATTGTAATGCCCTCCCTCTCCCTTTCCCTTTCTCTCCTCTCCCCTTACTCTCTTCCCCTTCCATTCCCACTTCTTTAAATCTTTCTCCTATTTCCCCTTTTCTTTCCTCTCACCCTCATTCCTTTTCTTTCACCCTTCAACCTCACCCTTTTTTATCTCTCTCATTCTTCCTTCCCCTTTCTCTTCTCCCCCACTCTTTTTTCCTCCTTAAATATGCACAATATCAACATACAATAAGGTTCTCCCTCCCCCACACCCAAACCCACACCCACACCCACACCCACACCTACACCCACACCTACACCCACACCCACACTCAAACTCAAATTCAAACAACTATTCACTCACTCACTCACTCACACGTACACCCATACCCAAACTTCTGAATTTGATTTTGATTCTCAATCTGATTCTGATTCTCCCTCTCACTCTCACTCTCACTCCCACTCCCACTCCCACTCCCACTCCCACTCCCACTCCCACTCCCACTCCCACTCCCACTCCCACTCCCACTCCCACTCACCCCCACCCTCATCCCTACCCTCACTCCCACCCCCACCTCTCACCCTCACCCTCACCCTCACCCTCACCCTCACCCTCACTCCCACTCCATCCTCCTCACTCTCCCACCCCCACTCCCACCCACACCCTCACCCCCACCCTCACCCTCACCCCCACTCCATCCTCCTCACTCTCCCTCTCCCTCTCCTCCATACCCTTCCCCCCTCCCTCTCCATCCTCCTCACTCTCCCTTCCCCCCTCCCTTTCCCTCTCCTCCGTACCCTTCCCCCCTCCCTCTCCCTCTCCTCTGTACCCTTCCCCCCTCCCTCTCCCTCTCCTCCTCCCTCTCCAACACTTACGATGCCAATATAGAACAAGGTCACCGGTGTTAGCAGCTGTATGAGCCAGGGCCAGCGGGGGGACTCGACCGCTCCGCCCCGGGAATACTGGTGCGTCCACTTCTCCAGCCACTTGCGGCAGTCGGGGGAACTAGGGGGGAGAAATCAATGGCTAGTAATGTTTTTTTTTTTTTTTTTCTTTCTTTTTTTTTTTTTTTTTTTTTTTTTTATTCTGGATATTTAGAGATGATGGCTAGTAATGGCTCCTTCTTTTTTTCCCTTTTATTTCATTCTGTGTATTTTAGGCAATATCAGAGCTTTTATGCATGAAGAAGATAGTTGTGTACTATTTATCATATAAAATACAAAACTTGAAGAAAAAAAATTAAGTAAATGGACAAATACAATGTTAAGCACAACTTCTATCACTAAAAGGATTTTTTTTCTTCTTTTTACTTAGCTTTGTTTAATATACAAATTATTCAACTACTCAAACAAAATATAGCAACTTTTTTCTCAGACCGCTGCAAATACCAAAATTGAAACTATTTACACTGAACAAACGTGCAACAACGTAGAGAGAAAAAAAGTCCTTTCCCTCATACACTCACGAATATCTGAACTTCGCCAACTTTTATAGATGACTGATTGTTAAGCACATATAACAACAACACAATAAACAAATACACAAAAACAAACAAACAAGAAAAATCTACCACATAACAAAAAAAAAAAAAAAAAAAAAAGAGGACACGAGAAAAAGAAAACCTTACACAGAGAGTGAGGCCTGCGCAACCTGAGAAGGAGTAAGACCAGCGGCGTTGTGAGTTGTGAGGAGGTTTTCAGCACCTGGGTATGTGATCACCCAGCACACACCCGACACCCCACCTGCAGCTCCGGCATGCAACACGCTGTTACCCTCGCTGTCCACTTTTGTACGATTCACTCTGTTTGGTGGGAAGGGTTGTAGTGAGGACATAGCAAGCTAGAAAAATGCATTTTAAAAATAATGAGAACTATAGAACCTAAGTTATATATCTTTATATACAGGTAGTCCTTAATTTATATGAGCTTCAACTCTATAAATATGGTTGCTAAAAAAATATATCAAATTAAGACCTTTTCAAGAAGTGCAACCTAATGATATGTTGATTTAAAAGAAGCATTCATTTAAGTCTTCTTTGAGCAATGGTATTCTCACATTTCCAAATACACCCTATGCAATTTTTTTTCAATCTCACATATACATATAAATTATCGATACTGAATGTACAAACTTATCACAGTCTACCTCTTTATTCAAAAGGCATAGAAATACACAGAGGCACAAAAACAAACTTACTTTTTCTTATTCACAAGATATTGCACAAGATCTAGATGACCACAGGCAGCTGCAATGTGCAATGGGGTGCAACCACGGCTATCCTCAGCTTCAAGGTTAACCTCACACACTTCAGCTAAATACTGTATTAACAACCTGTCGAAGAATAAGGCACAGATAACGCTCCCAAATCTGTATTGTTCTTATACAAGCTTATACTCAGAATAAGAATTTACACAGACTGAATAAATGTAAATAGCTTGAGTATAGGCTACCCCCTCTTTTTAATAATCATAATTAGGTGATCCTGTTCTTTCTTATACAGAATGCATCACTACCACCTGGCAAAAAATTCATCAAATTTATCTTTAAACAATTAAATACCTTAAAAACCAAATGTATTCTACATCCCATTACTACCAGCAGAGAGTACAGTGCAAGCAAGCCTTTTATGCACTTCAATTAACTTTTTGTCTTCTTTCCCTTACTTATCTATGTACAGCTTGCTAAAAGTAATTATATAAAATGTCAACTTATTACCATAAATAAGTAATCCTAACGCATAATACTAAACAAAACAATCTGCAATCCAATAACCAGTCATAAGTTATTTTAATACACTAATTTCTCCAAAAGAAAAAACAATATCAGGAACACCCCTTATAAAACTAAAAGATCGGCTTACAGGGATCCAGCAATGGCCGCACAATGCACTGCAACTCTCCCAGAACTATCCAAAATCATGGGGTCCCCTCCATGCTTGAACAGTGTGACCACCACGTTCAGGAAGCCTCGACAACAAGCAACATGAACAGCAGTCTCGCCTGTGTCATGAAAAGGAATGGGATTTTAATAATTTCTGTGAAATGGAGAGGTAGAATTTCTTTTAATGACATCCACAGTGCGTATAAAATTAATGCAACATTATCAAGGAACTTTTCAAATGTCTCTCAGTGCAAATTCTTGCATCTAATCTAGGTAATATATTAAAGTTTGTGATCAGTTTTATAATATTGATACTGAACATTTATTTTCACCCTTGCTCTCTTTAGCTCTCAAAATCCTCCAATCATCACATATTTATACTTTTGGCAAGTAGACATAAGACAGAATGCCACAAAAACACAACAATTTCTGAACTGCACTTTG